CGCCAGAACTGTCAGGAAACATCCCCTCAAAATTCCAGTCTTCTAGCTTCTCACGTCCTCGAGTTAACAACTTAGCAATTTACCCGGAAGAAACTTTCACGAGCCCGTACGTAGGTACCACGCTTACCCGCGGGCAGGGCTTGGACTCGTTAATACCCACTCGGGCAGGGACATCCCCCTAAGATTTCAGCGTTCTAGCTTCTCAGATCCCCGAGTTATGAACTTACTTCAGAAAAAACTTTGTCGGGCCCGTACGTGGGTACCACGCGGGTTTTGGCGCCCATTTTGGGGATTGAGGCCGGCACGTGCATGTAGATCAAGTTCCCGAAATTTCAGCCCCGCAGCTTTTATAGGTCCTTAGATGAAAGTGCGTTATAGACGCAAACACAGACACACGGACACACAGACAGTCCGACGTCAGTATGCGTTTTTGCATTGCATAGCTGTAAAAAACGCATAAAAACCTGCTAAACAGGAATGCTTCTGTCCTCCAACTCCTTTAGACGTTTTTCTCTGGTTGCTGAGATAAGCCTACACTAGTATAGTGACCCTTGCTAGTCCTGCTTCATTCTTCTGTTCGTAGCTGACCGCATGCGTCACTTCGTAGATTAAGAGAGCTTCTCGGGATCTTCAGTCATCGATAACAACGCTTCACAGCAGCTCGTGCCAGAAGACCTGTTCTGGTGCTCAACAGAAATGTTTGCGACTTCAGCGACCGAAACATTCCTTTTCAGCAGTTCAATTGCTACTTTCTTCAATTTTAGTAAATATACCTTTAAACCATTCTTGCCAGGTTGCTTCAGGTCCCGTTTTGCGCTGTAGAGCGTAGATATCGGGTCTTCTTGCATTTGGAACGCTTCGTATGGCTATGGCCCGTTTCGGCACTTATTTGGCTAAAAACTTTTGCATTTGCTTTGTTCAGTGCTACATCAGCTCGGCCTTTTGGCGATCCCTGCTTCCGTCGTCGGTGGGGATGCTTGCGCAGCGGGGGACCTCTAATAGTAATTCAGAATTCCCCCATTTCGTGGCGCATTTGATGAGTATTGGGTATCTTCACCTCGTCTCAAATATTGCCAGTACTGGACCGCAAATTGGCATTTCGCCAATTAGAAGACATTTAGAGTTTTAACTAGTTTATAGTAACTGAAGGCCTTAAAACGGCAGATCCCCAAAATGCTTACTCACCGTTCTCGCTCCAGCCCCTCAATTTCTTGTCATTAAGAATCAAATGGCACCGCATTAGCATTCCTGGGTACAGTTTTGTCTGTTGGATCTATCGTTTTTTTTTTGATTCGTGCAATTTTTTGGCCAAATTTTGTAGTGCCGTGTTCAGCTGTTCTTCTTTCCAGTTGAATTCGGCATTTTTTTATATCGTCCTTTTTTAGCAGTACGGAGGTCAGAAACTGTGCGACCGGATGCTTGGCACCGAACACATGTTTTTAACGTACACTCCCATACCTGAGTATTGTGATTTTTTTGCAGGTTACGCTGCAAGGGGCAACTGTTCAGTTACTTAGCGCGGCATTTTGTGCTTTCGCACTCAGCAGAGTTGTTGGGCGCTCGAAGCAGTGTCTGGATTTCTCATGCACAGTGCACTTCTGGCACGCTATCTTCGTCACATTGTATCGGGAGTCATTTATCACTCAGATTTATTGGTGGTTGTTACAGCTGTCGAGTATTGCAGTGTGTACAGTGCTTGGTGAATACCTTTGCCTACGGATTGAATCCAGGGAGATCCCTGTGTCAGCTGGCGGTTCCAGATATGAGGTGTAACAGTTCTGATCCCTCGTCCCATCCTCGTCGCATTTCATCAGTGCTTATGGGCTGGGTCTCCGATACCATTAGCTTACCCTGCTTATGATATCACTTCTGAAATGTTCTTGTTTAATGATATTTCCTGACAATCCTCCTTACCGCAAGGTTAAAACTTATGCGTATATATATGTGTATATGTGTAGATACATGTATATATGTGTAGGAAGGTAACAACCTAATATAACACGCTTATAAACTAATCTATCAAAATGTACGTCACAGTATTATTATATAAGAAATGCGAAAGAAATAAAAAGGAAATGGGAAAAGAAAATGACGGTAGGTCTCGTGGAGCAAAACCTCCCCAGAACAGAGCAAGGCCGCTGATTAGAATGGAAATAAATCCAACCAGTACCAATGAACTCGAGTAATTAAGTAATAAATTAAGCAAAAACAGAAAAAAAGTCATTAAACTAATCAAGTTAAGTAATTACAAGTAATTTCAAGTAAATAATCAAAAGAATTAAGTTATAGAAGTATGAAGATGAGTAAAAAGGCGGAGGGCCTTCGCCTACTTATATTCCCGGATGAGCACTTGTCAAAAGGCTGTAACACTTTAGACGACGTAGGCTATCTAAAGGTTGGTAAATCTGTGAAATAAGGAAAGAATGTGATGTACATAGCTTACGGAATACTAAGAGAAAACAGTCAGTCATAATGTAACTAACAGTACAGACCCTACTTTGTAAATACTGTCTTCCTGTGCCTCCGCTGTGTATTCCTTTTTCAGTCTTTCCTGCAGCTTTATTAGTAAAAATTTTCCCAAAAAAAAAGAAAAAAAAATTGGAATAAAATAACAATATTTAATAGTTTTATCGTTTTATCACATTTATCCAAATGATATGGCACTGAAAGAAGACGCCGCGCTTGCCACACATATTTGTTTTTGCCTTGTTTTCGCCTTGGTAAGAAGATGTTCGCGCTATGAAATGGCAATGAGCATGGTCCCTTACATGCTAGTAATTCAGAATTTAGCGTTTTTTTTGAGCAGTAGTGACCATCATAAAGAAAAGCACTGTGCCAAATTCATCCGGAATTGTGCCTTTATCCCGGTGCTTCCCATAAGTGAATCGACAATCTCTTATAGCTTTAGAAAATGGAAAAACATATTTCTCCCGTTTGCCCGTTCATCAGACGAATTCGCCAAGTGATGTCCCTCGCTCCTTATAAATTTCATAAACTTTTTAGCTCGGCCATCAGCGATGACAGGTCTTTCTGCTCAGCGGGCCGCATTTCATCATTCACAGCCTAAATTAATAATCCGTTACTTATTTAAGCATTCCGTCAGATGTTCGGGAAATCTGCAAGCCTAGTATTTTTTTTTTTTTACGGTGCCGACTTAAGCGGATTTGCGAGTTTTCCTGGTGGCCACTTCGAGAATTTTTTGTGCATTGTTTCACATCAAATATTTCAAATAGTTTTTCTAGATCAGGCCCACTATCGCTATGCGCAAAGAGCAGAAGAGTGCTTGCTGAGATCTTAAGAAATACTTTCCCGTATTTTTCTTTTTTAACTTAGCTGCTTAAAAAAGACCGATTGCCCAGTAGCGCATATTTTTCCTTTCATTATCCTTCGCGGGAAAACGTCTTTGATTCTTACCTTGAGAAAACACACTTTTGAATACTCAGCGAAGTATG